AAAAACAAAACAAAAAGCGCACCCCTAACGGGCCACACTTTTCACAAAAGAAAAACTATTACTATAGGCGATGGGAACCAAAATCTTCTACCATCCCATTATTACCAGTCACCCCGGTGGTCTAGTGGGTAGCCTCGCAGCCTGCTAAGGGCCAGGTCATGGGTTCGAGTCCTGGCAGAGTGAGATTTTTTCTCATTACTAAATAAATCCTGGCCTAGGATGAAGGCGACGCGCTGCAAAAAGCTCGTTTGTTAGTAAACCATAATCAACTTCGTATGTCGCGAGGGAAGGGATTGCTGTACCCTTCTCGCGATAAAAATACCTCAGGCATGAACCACAGGAGGGAGTCCAGCCCCCCCCTCCTATGTGACCCCGGTTGGGTCGTCTAGCTGGTAGAAGTGGAGGATAGGGGCCAGAGGGGCACAGACGACAGAGTCCAATGATGGGAGAAAAAAAAAAAATTACCTACCGTTGCCATCATTTAACCCCCCTACCACGCACAGAAAATTCGGCGTTCTTGCGAAATTTCTGAAATGTAAGAAAAAGAGAGAACGAGGCCTGCTGATTGGATGGTGCAGACAGTTCCATCCCTGGTTGCAAGTGCAAAGCTGCCTTCCCACTTGAGCCGTCTCATGTCTATGATTCCTATCAAATGTCCCCTCGATCGAGGGGACATTTGATAGGGATTATACATTAGTTATTCAGCAACTGGCGGGAGCGTGGTAAACGGGGGACGAAGATATTTCTCTAGAGGGAAATCGAGACCTTCTAACCCGAGCCCTAGGTTGCCCGGTGCCTCCTGTCAACGGTGGGCTATTAATAGGTACTTCTTCCGCGCTTGCCCCTAGTAGCGCTTTCCACCCAAGGGTAGACAGACGCGGCGCATTCACTGTTGTACCCGCGGCGTGATCGCCCCCGATTCGACCTGTTCATTACCCTCATACTCCTCCACTCTACAAAGCATCCATACAAAACTAGAGTCGTCCCCGTTNTGCCCCTAGTAGCGCTTTCCACCCAAGGGTAGACAGACGCGGCGCATTCACTGTTGTACCCGCGGCGTGATCGCCCCCGATTCGACCTGTTCATTACCCTCATACTCCTCCACTCTACAAAGCATCCATACAAAACTAGAGTCGTCCCCGTTGTTTGGGGTGCTCGGCAGAATATACTGTCTACGGGGCCTCCGGGGGGTACGCGGATGGAATGTATTGACAGACATGCTGCATGGCGATGGTGTGGCCTACCGCATGTCTCTTACTCTCTAAGCAACAAGGTATTGAGTCAACCTTCTTTCTCTTTCGGCCTCTGACGAGCTACCGCACCCAAACACAATATATTGTAAGGCCTGGTGTTGGTAGTGGGTATTGGCGTCTGAGCGGTGGGAGCTGGGCCATCGGGGCAGCGGACACCATTTTCATAGCTGGGATCGCGGCCGAAGGGGGCGAGGACAGCAGTGCATAGCTGGTGCGGTGGCCATTGCGGGGACCGGGACAGCAGGGTTTATAGCTGGGACAGCACTTCGAGGCTGGGACAGCAGGGAGGGTTTAGAGTTTTAGTTTGATATGTCTGGAACGGAGGAGGACGCAACTCTGAGCGCGAGGTTGGATGAGGCGCTACGAGCTATAGAGGAGGCCAAGGCTGAGACGAAGGAGGCCAAAGCTGAGACGGAGGAGCTTAGGGCAGCACAGCGGCGGTCTGCGGGTGCACCTGCCGGCAGCAGCTCAGGAGGCGACGGTCTAGTTGCTCCTGGAGGGGCTTCATCTGCACCGGTGAGGCCAATGTGGCCAGGCGGGGTGAGTCATGATGGCGGTACTGGGGTGCCGGGCTTGCCTCTGGGAGGTACAATTGTCAGAACTCCTGTGCCTAGAATCCCGCCTAATTGCACCGCCGACACTTTTCTCAGTTGGCGGAGACGCTTTCTGGCCTACGTGGACAACCACAATCTCCAGCACACAATCTTCGGCAGTGCTGAGGTTCCCGTTGTCAGTTGTCAGGATGAAGGATACTTGACACGCCAG